AGACTATGCACCATATTAGCTTTTGGTAAATATTTATGCTTCTTAATCACCTAATTAACATAATTAATTAATACTGATATCTCAAGTATTGATCATTGCATTTGAATAAAACTTGGTACATAAATGCTCTAGGACAATAGACAGCCTGATTAATTTTCGGTTAAAATCTGTTCATATTAATTCTCTAATTAGCATAATAATTAATATTTTTTTGGTTCTAATCACATTTCAATGAAACTTGGTACATCGTGCAGACCTTTAGTTTTACACTTAAATCTGTTCATATTAGTTACCTTCTTTGCATAATTAGTTTTCAGCTATTCCATCAATATCTCAAGTATAAGTAATTTTGAATTAATTTGTAATGTGTCTCCAAAACTCTCAGCACACGGGAGTTCTTTCTAAGCTCTCTTTGATTTGTTTCTGTCTCTACCAGCTACAATGCGAATGTCTGATAACAAATGTCGACCACTGATCTGCACTAGCTTGCGATCTGCTGTGAAAACGTTACCTGTAACTTGCTTTTTGGTTCCCGCTTGCAGAGTACTAAAGGAGACTATTGTTACACCAATGTGTGTCTGTATGGATGAATGGATGTGTCAAATCTTCTTCCATCAATATCTCAGAAACCGCTGGTTGGAATAGGGTGTATTCTGGTACACAATTCAACGAGATCTCCGATCTGAACTCAGTGCTGAACAACTCCCCTATATATACCCCCACTGTCTATAAATAGACCATTACATCAGCATACATAATGAGTCTGGAACTTACTACAAATTTCTAGAATGTCCCATTACCTTCTATTGCCTCCTACAGTGTTCTATTACCTATTCAACCAGTTTCTAAAAACAATCTAGAATATTCCACCAAGACACAGTACGGTTCTTGAACATTCTCAGTGACACGGAAGTGGTAAATAAGTCGTATGCGACATAGATTTTAGTGCAAATCCGTACATAATAAATAGCTAGTTTGTGTGGTTGAATACCGAATACTGCTTAGTAATTATTCTATATATATTTTATTTTTTTCTCGTCTATTCTGCTATGGGTCTTATGATTTGAATTAAAGCTGTAATAATAATAATTTGCCTAAGCTTCATACCAATTGACTTCTTTCAGAATATTTTGTTGAAACTTGCTAAATATATAATGTTTGTATTATTGAATGTATAATTCTGCTTTGAAATTTATCTGAGTAAGATAATTCGGTAATTTGCATATTAATTAACTACATCGATATGCTAACAAAGTTATCTTAGATAATTTATCGTTTGTGCTTGCATGAAATTTAACTACTTAATTTAACTAATTTGCATATGAAATAAATACACCAATATAAAAAGCAGTCTGAGTATGACTGAGGCAGAAACAGTTGACCTCACACGGTAGCACTATCTACCATTTTCACGTCAGCAAGTACGACGGCCAATACGTCAGAACAAGTTCATTAGTGTGTGGCATACTGGTGTAACGGAAATATGGACTCCGAGTTAACAAGTTTCCTTGTGTGCTTTCCGTTGCATAAAAGCTACATACCTTTCTCGGTGTATCTATCTTTGATTGAATATAAAACAGCTGTTAGAAATACATTGAATAAAATTGAGGTTGCTCGTATAAAGATGGACATTCAAAGATGAGATTTCCATGCGCAGTGATACGTACCTAATGTAAAATGACATGGGTGCCATGCAAAGTTGATTCAAGATGTTTGTAAACACCCATCAGTTCATTTTGTTAACATGTTAATGTTTCAAACTTTGATATCATTATACATTCTGTCTGATTTTCAGAGTAATCGAACAGTGGCACTGCGGCTGTCCCAGCTAGAAGATGAGCGGTCAGCCTCACCGGAGCATACAGTGGAGGAAGGCATTCCTGAATGTACGAACATGCGAACATATAATAGCAGCAATAGGAACGCGGTAAAACATCGGAAGCGACTCAGTCTTGACTCAAGGCGATGTTCAGCGCCAGAACTGAGGCATAGAAAAGGATTTGTGTACTCTGTGCGCAGAAAAGCCTCCAGTATTAAAGTGAAAATACCGCGTGTTCATGATGTCAATATAATAGACAAATATTCAAGACTGATCTTTCCATTAACCTTCACAATTTTCAACCTTTTTTATTGGTGTTTATACCTGATATAAATGTTACTTGCTGACTTGTATGTGCACGGCGTTAGAATGAATGGCAACTCAGGAAAATACCAAGACTCTGGAAGGAATTCGCCCCGAAGCATACTATGTAGATATTGTCTGCTAAAACTTACACTCCTACAGTCAGAACATTTTTCACACACAAAAGAAAACACTTGTCTTGTCTTTAAAATCTCATGTCTGTATGGAGTATTTATTACCTGAAAAAAAAATGACTTTGTCGGGGGACGTTATTAAACACGAGTAATGACTCGAATTAATGCTTCTTTGAGTGTGTGGTCAGAAGCCTGGATCTTCGTCCGCATTTATTCGTATGTATAGTATATTACGCCAATGCAATGGCGATGAACAGTATACAGACAATTCAAAAGTGCGATTCAACCAACAATTGAGCGAAAAATAAATATTTATACAGAAGCTGACTTTCGAAGTATGACATGAACACCGACAAACTTACAGTCAGTCTGTTGTTACTCTCAGCGTACATTGGGCATGATACATCGATGTCGCAGCAGGGGCCACTGTGTGCAGTTTTCCTTTTTTAAACTTTTTTTCGACGTTAAATGTGTAGACGTAAACTCGAGACTGGCAGAGCTGATGTGTCTACAATTTAAGGCTATCATTTAAAAAACAAAGTACATACAACTTCCCTTAAATCGCTTGTACATGCCTTCGTGTATTATGTACAATGGCGCCTGCCAGACTGAAAACGTATCCTTTACTGTTCCGGCTATTGCGCAATAGAATTGTAGTAAGCAATGTGTCTACTTTGGTTATTTCTGCCGTCGAACCGTTCAGCAATAGTTTACCTATTGTGTACACGGATCGTCCAAACTAATATTGTCACTGAGGCTTCCATTTTGCCCCTCGTTTATATTCTCTCATGTCGCGGGAAATACTGATGTGTAATAGTTCTCAAGCTTCAGAAAAAAATGATTTATTCATTTTAATTCTAAAAAAAATGTTATGATTTCGTTTGACTTCGAACCAACTTTACAAAAGTGCATGTTCTAATGATTTAATGAATAAACATGTTGCTTTGTTTTTACGTTGCGTCTAAATATCGTTATTATTATCACCACCTCGTCCAGTATCCTACATGTAACAATCAATGGGAAATGAGGCATTCAATTGCATGACACCAATGAAGCATTTGACTTAAAAAATAACGTTCCATTACTCCTCCCGAAGACTTGCATGTCAAATAAATATACTCTGTCATTGCTGTTATACTGGCATGCCCAATTTAGTTAAAAGGCAGTGGTCGCCGCGCCGCGCATGTACGACATTAATAAACATTGATTTTCTCACAATCAAATGCGCTCTTCTAATGAAATCACGAGTATGAGTTTTGGCCTGAGCACGACTTGCAATAATTACCGCCGGCAAGTCCTTCGATTCCTTCCAATCACCGAATGAATTACCTAATTAAAACTTTGTAACCTCTCAGTTTGTACTCATTCGTCTGCAGAATAGTCAATGTCGCCATATTTGTTTGTATGAGACATATCTCGCGCATGCGTGGCGCGACGAACACCGCCCTTTAATACTTACAGGACACGTATTTCCAATTGTGACACTGGTAATTCTAACTTCCACCAGATCGTAAAAAATATCATATTTCTTCGTGAGATCTGTTTTACGAGCATTCGAACACTGTTTTCATATTAAGTTTGCTCATAGACTGCATCAGTAGATATAATTTATCATCCATATCGTGGTCATTAGGCAAACAAGACACCTACACCAGATTTGTGGTATTTGATAGTGAGTTGACTATGTCATTATTATGATTTATGCACCTCTGTTATTTCACAACACGTGCATGCAATTGTGAGGAAAAAAACTCAATTGGTCGCACATATATGACGGAGATTGATAGCAATCACAGTGGTAAAAATAGTCTTCACATTGAAGAGAAATTGTTATTTGTTTAATTTACGACGAAAAGCAAGTATACCAACTGTACGTCGGTGGTGTGAGTGACGTCGGATACACGTCAGCTACATGTAGGCGCGCGGTCACTGTTTCCTGCATACAAACCATCAGCAAAATGCAAACATATTTATTTTTCAAAATTTCGGATAAAAAATATACCCTTGCAGTGATGTGGTGGGACGCTATTAGTTATTATTGCACGACTGGCTACGAAAACAAAGGTTCATATCTTACTATGTGTACGCTATTTTGAATGACGTAGCCGGAAAGTCAATACAATTTAAAAACAAAAGTACCCCGTGATACGTAAAACTGCAAGAAAACTAAAAATCGCAAAGTTTCTATAAAAAGACAGAATTATAATATAAAAATATGAATTATTGTTTAATGTCATTTATGTAATATATTGAGGCAGCAGATGTTTTTAGTTTAACGGATTATCATGATGATATGACACCACTACTTGTGAAAACGTAAACGACGAAGAAAAAGCTAATAATTAATTCCTGATTATTGATCGAGCGAGAATCACTGGGGTATTTTGTAGGTTTATCAAACCAAATGTATTGTACTGCGTGTATTCGTTTTATTTCATATATTTAAAATCAGTTTCACTCTATGTATATAACTCTATGTATATACAATATCGCGATTACTATGACTTCAAAATACTACCAGTGAATTTTATAAAATAAAGATATAAAAATAGTAAATACATATTTTAAACAAATCACAAACTAGGGTTTTATTTCAATAGAATTGGAGTATATCTGCTACCTGACAGCCCCATCTGCATAAATTGCGAGGTCTAACCATGCCACCAAGCAGCCCGAATTCAATAAATGTGGGAATTACGTCTTTTACCTGACAGCCCCCAAATACATTAATTGTGGTGACAGCCTCGAATACATTAATTGTGGAGACTACCCCTGCCACCTGACAGCCCCAAATACATTATTTGTAGAGACTACCCCTTCCACCTGACAGCCCCAAGTACATTATTTGTGGAGACTACCCCTTCCACCTGACAGCACTGAATACATTAGTTGTGGAGACTACCCGTGTCATCTGACAGCCCTGAATACATTAGTTGTGGAATCCATCCCTGCCATCTGACAGACCCAAATGCATTAGTTGTGGAATCTATCTATGCCACCTGACAGACCCAAATACATTAGTTGTGGAGGTTATTCCTGCCACCTGACAACCCCAAATACATTAGTTGTGGAGACAATCCCTGCCACCTTACAGCCCCAATTACAATAGTTGTGGAGACTATCCCTGCCACCTGACAACCCCAAATACATTAATTGTGGAGACTACCCCTCCCACCTGACAGCCCCAAATACATTAATTGTGGAGACAACCCCTGCCAACTGACAGCCTTAAATACATTAATTGTGGAGACAATCCCTGCTGCAAGACAGCCTCGAATACATTAATTGTGGAGACTATCCCTGCCACCTGACAGCCCCAAATACATTAATTGTGGAGACTATCCCTGTCACCTGACAGCCCTGAATACATTAGTTGTGGGGACTATCCCTGCCACCTGACAGCCCTGAATACATTAATTGTGGAGACTACCCCTGCTACCTGACAACCCCAAATACATTAATTGTGGAGACTACCCCTCCCACCTGACAGCCCCAAATACATTAATTGTGGAGACAACCCCTGCCACCTGACAGTCCTGAATACATTAATTGTGGAGACAGTCCCTGGTGCAAGACAGCCTCGAATACATTAATTGTGGAGACTACCCTTGCTACAAGACAACCGCAAATACATTAATTGAGGAAACAATCCCTGCTACAAGACAGACCCAAATACATTAGTGGTGGAGACTATCCCTACCACCTGACAGCCCCAAATACAATAATTGTGGTGACTAACCCTACCACCTGACAGCTCTGAATACATTAATTGTGGAGACAATCCCTGCTACAAGACAGCCTCGAATACATTAATTGTGGAGACTACCCTTGCTACAAGACAACCCCAAATACATTAATTGAGGAGACAATCCCTGCTGCAAGACAGCCTCGAATACATTAATTGTGGAGACTACCCTTGCTACAAGACAACCCCAGATACATTAATTGAGGAAACAATCCCTGCTACAAGACAGACCCAAATACATTAGTTGTGGAGACTATCCCTACCACCCGACAGCCCTGAATACATTAATTGTGGAGACAAACCCCGCTACAAGACAGCCTCGAATTCATTAATTGTGGAGACTACCCTTGCTAAGAGACAACCCCAAATACATTAATTGAGGAGACAATCCCTGCTACAAGACAGCCTCGAATACATTAATTATGGAGACAACCCCTACCACCTGACAGCTCTGAATAAATTAATTGTGGAGACTACCCTTGCTACAATACAACCCCAGATACATTAATTGAGGAAACAATCCCTGCTACAAGACCGACCCAAATACATTAGTTGTGGTGACTAACCCTACCACCTGACAGCCCTGAATACATTAATTGTGGAGACCATTCCTGCTACAAGACAGCCTCGAACACATCAATTGTGGAGACTACCTTTGCTACAAGACAACCCCAAATACATTAATTGTGGAGACAATCCCTGCTACAAGACAGCCTCGAATACATTAATTGTGGAGACTATCTCTGCTACCTGACAACCCCAAATACACAAATTGAGGAGACAATCCCTGCTACAAGACAGCCTCGAATACATTAATTGTGGAGACTACCCTTGCTACAAGACAACCCCAAATACACAAATTGAGGAGACAATCCCTGCTACAAGACAGCCCTGAATACATTAGTTGTGGCGACTATCCCTGCCACCTGACAGCCCTGAATACATTAGTTGTGGAGACTACCCATGCCACCTGACAGCCCCAAATACATTAGTTGTGGAGACTATTCCTGCCACCTGACAGCCCCAAATACATTAATTGTGGAGACTACCCTTGTTACAAGACAACCCCAAATACACAAATTGAGGAGACAATCCCTGCTACAAGACAGCCCTGAATACATTAGTTGTGGCGACTATCCCTGCCACCTGAC